GGTGGGTGTGTCCACGTTAGGCTCGTCTTTGTTTGTGTCGGGAGGTTATTCGACCGTGGTGGTCCGTGCTCCTCCTCCCTCTCCGACATGTGGTCTCTTGGGGCAGGTCCCTATGTGGGGTCGTAGCTCGTCTGCAGTGGTTGGTTGCTCTGTAGTTTTGCAGCACCAGCAAGTGTCGTTACAGCGGGCGGATGAACGCTTTCGCTGACGACGGCGGGGTGCTGACGAAGTGCATAAACGTGGTGGTGGTATCCGTGTTAAGTCGTCGAGTCGGAACTCTGGCACTCGATTGTTGACTGGAATCTTATACCATTGGCCCCCCGGATCCTGAAGCATGTAGCCCAGCTCAGGATCCCAAAGCTGTCGAAAGCCATCAACCTCAATCAATTTTCCAACTGATAGTAATGATGGGCAGTCTGGTAAAGCAAGGGCTGAACTATGCAGTCCAACCTCGGGTAGCCGTATGTCGTAGTGCTCGTTGACGATGCGATCACCATTTGCAGTTTCCAGAATATGCTCTTCGCGAATAGATATGCGATCCGACTCGGTCTGCGTAAGTTCAAGTTTTCCCTGAATACGATGAGCAGATCCACTGTCGAGAACCCAAGACCTTGTCAATGCTGCAATCGAACGTGGAGTGTCGACTTGCTTTGTCGTTGTTGTCGTCTGGGCAGTCTTTGATGACTGCTTGACAGTGTCGTCATGCTTTCGGATCGCAGTTGGTGTGGCCACCGACTCTTTGTTGTGTCGGTAGTCGTACAGTTCGTCGTACCATAGTTGTGCCTCTTTTTGACATTCTCGTAAGGCCTCTGCACTATCATCCCACCATTCTTGTGGTAATGGATCTGGTACTTTGACGATGTCACCCTCATTCGGCAGCTCTTTCCACCTGTCCAGTCTGGCTCTGCCAGATATGGTATGGAAATAGTAGTCCACGTTGCGTACGTCGAAGCGTATCCGACGACGTATCTTGGTAGATGTCGTTGTGGCCTTGGTGTTGGCCATGAGGGTCTTGTCGCGAATGACGTAGCTGCGGTCTGAACGGCGTGAATGTCTAAAGTTGGCAGGAGAACGTGCTCTAGTGTTGGGTGAACCACGGGACGATCCGCGGCTCGGATACCGCTTGCCACGTCCTTTGTCACTGCCATATGATCTATCACGGCCGCGTGGACTGCCGCGCCCGCCGCCACGATTGTCTCGTCCTCGGGAGGTAGATCTCGAAGATCTGTCGTAACGACTTCTCGATTGGCTGCGAGAGTCTTGGGACCTCCTGGATGTCGAACGGGATCGGTCGCATTGGCGTCGGTTGTCACGTCCCTGTCGTGAATCGCTTGCGCAGCGAAACCCCCCGCGTTGTGAAGACCGTTGGCTTCCTGATCCGCGGGATGGCGATCGGCCACGGCTGTCCTGGCTGGAAGTCCGTGGTCGACTCGGGCTTCGTTCAGGAGTCTTTGCACCAGGTGCAAGATGAGCGTATTTGCATTTGTCGCCTTTTGTGCACTTGTTCTGTGCGAAATCCTTGCACTGTGCGACGTGCGGGTAATTGCACTTATCACATCTGGTACATGTGTTGCGCTTGGCAAAATCGAAGCAGAATGGCCGTGATGCTGGCTTCTTGTGATTCGCAGGAGTGGACATACTACGGCGGGGGTTGCCACCAGCCGTTGATGTTCTGGAAGATTTGTTGTTCTTCCAATCCCTGGAATATGTATGTAAAGCCTTGCACCGTTCACCATTGCGACAAATGCCTTTCTTCCATGCAACGCACGCGTTGACCTGAGATCGTGTCTCGTGTTCGTACCGTAGCTTGTTTTGATTCTTCTCCAATTGTTTAATCTCCAGTATGTCCAGGACACGCTGTCGAAGCCAACCGTAGGTACGATTCGGGTCGCTCATCTTCATGCGCTGGTACTCGTACATGTCTTGTTTCATCCACGCATGTCTACGAATCTGTGTGCGGAATAGCGATTCCAATATCTTTGGATCGGGTACTTCTCGGCATTCCAAGAGTAAGGCGTCCCAATCGGTAATGAAACGTTGCAAATCTTCGTCTCTCATCCTCAGTTATTTAAGGCGCTCGAAATCGTGCAGGTCGTCGTCGACGTCTGTCACTTTGTAGGACTGTAGGATATGCCAGTATATCTGGCGTCCTTTGAGCATGCGTCCTGCTTTGTGCTCTCTGGTCTCGATGAGCCTGATTTGGTAGCGTAAGTCTGAGGATAAGATGTCGCTCAGAGCGGTTGCGAGTTTGCAATCGGTGCTCTCAAAGTCTCCACTGTCTTGTAAATCCTCGAATGTACAGTCGGGCTGTTCTGCCACGCATAGGAAGGCGTATGCTTTGGATGGTCGCCCTGAGGCGGCCCCAAAGTTCTTTCGCACTCTTTGCTGCCACTCCAGCAGCTGCGTGATCTTAGGCAAGACAGGTACTCGGACGGTGTCTGACTCCTTGATAGGCGTCGTTGTATGTACCGACACCGCAGACACTGGTTGTGAGGGTATCGGTGCACCGTCGACGGTTGGTTCTGCGCGCACAGGAGACACATGACGTGTCTGTGCAGAAGCTGCCGCGGAGGCTGCTCCTGGAGATGTACGTCGTTGTTGTCCTGCTGAAGCTTGTGGTGCTTCGGCGGACGCTGCCGTCGGCCTGTGCGGGTCGGCTGCAGGTCGAAGGTGAATGTTGGTGTCGTTGGTGTGGTCGATCAGCTGATTCGTCCAGCTCGTTATGTCTTCTTGTATTTGACCCACCTTTTGGCGTGTATACTCATCAGTATCCCGAGACCGTTGGGAATGCCGATCAAGTCGTTGCTCGCATGCTCGGAGACGGGCGCTTTGTGCCTCCACCTCGCTTTCCAGACGTGTGAGATAACTCTCAATACGTACCTTCTCAGTATCTCTTTCATGAATAACCTGGGAGAGCTCTAACTGCGCGTGGTCCGCCGCCTTCTCAACCTCCTGCAACCTGTCAGCGAGGCGGGCGAAATCGTAAACCGTGGGAGGAGAATCCAGCTGATCAGTCTGGGCTCGTCCGACACGCAACTCTGCCAGGGCGTCCTGTACACCAGGGTAACGCTGCTCTATGTCAGAGATCCGGTTAGCGAGTGGCTGCACGACAGCGTTGGTCGCATCAAGCCTTTGAGTGATGACTCTCTCAGTACGCTGCAACATGTTGATCAGGTTCGACGAGTTTGTGCGTGCTTCGGTACGAAGCGTCGCCGTAGTGTGGTCTAGGTAAGATCGAAGATCATTGATCTGAGACTGAACGTCGCCGAGGTCTGTGGCCTCGGTTGGGGTTGGTCGGTTACGGAGCTGGTCGTGGATCTCATCGTGTAAAATCCTGACCGCAGAAAGGCCTGTGTCGCGTACGATCACAAGTTGTTGCTCCATCTGCGCGAGATAGTTGCGCAGGTTCTCGACCATCGCCGTTCGTTCACCTGAGTGTGACACCTCACGATCAACCTGGTACTGCAGTTCTCCTATGATGCGTCTATCTTCGGCGATCCTGGAATCGATGATCCCTAAGGCGCCGTCAAGATCGCGGCGTATGGCTGCAGTATCCGTGGCGTTCGTCTGAACGCTCTGTAGTAGTCCAGAGTATTGGCTGGACACGAAGGTTTCACCCTGGTCTCTGAGCTCAGCTATGTCACCTGCGGCGGACGTCTCCGCCAGCTGGTCGTCTGAGATGGAGAGGTGGGGAGCGTCAGCTTCCCTGTGTCCCCTGTCGCGGGGAGTGCATGGCCTCTGAGAGGCAGTGCGCGGGCTCGACCTGCGCTCGCCGTATGGGCCTGGGGCTCCACGGCGGTTGCGCGCGGACGAGCTGCGACTCGGACCATGTGTGTGGTGTCTCATCCGATGATACCTTGGGGTGCCGCGTCTGTGGCTGTGCCGACACTGGTCTACTGAGTTCCTCGAAGGTAGCTACGTGCTCCGCCACAGGGACGGTCGCAGGGCTGGGGGTTCCAGCACCTGAGGTCCATCGGCGGTTAGCGCGGAAGCGCCCTGGAGTATCGAGACCGGTTAGGCTTTCGCCTGACGCGGTTGGGATTGCTCCCGACGGGGAAGGGGAGGGAGGATCAAAGGTCGGCGTGTGAAACTCCTTCCTTCCTGTTCCTACTCCTTCTCCTGTCCCCCCGCGGGCGGCGCTGCGGCGAAGTTCAGCAGCTAGACGCGTCTCGGGTCCTCGGGAGCTGGGGGGGGGTATCGGGGACACCAACACAGTCCGCATTAATGCTCTCCAACTCGTCACCGAGCCGTCGCACCGTGGGAGAGCTTGGACGCGAAGCCCCAATGGAACCCTTACGGCGCATGCGCCGAAGCGGCTCCATTAGGCACGCATGCAAGGTCACCGCGGGCGAGTCGGTGAAGGTGAGCGTTAAAGGGCTGATAACCTGTGTATGGGGTTGAAGTACAAGAATACAGAACCCCTGATCCGTTGGTAGAGAGATGGAGGGATAGATGGATATCTTTCCCTCCCAAGCGATCAAGGTACGATCGCTCCAACTCAGTACCTGAGCCCAAACGGCCAGGTGAGGGAGAGGTAAGGATAAGGAGTATATATGAGGGTATTACACGGGTTCCATACACACAAGAGCCTTGGACGCCCACTTCGAAGCTTTTCGAGCGGGGCGCGGCCGGCGAAAGTGGCCAAGGATGGACCGAGGAGGCCAGGATGCAAGGGCACCCCTGGGAAGACTGCCCATCCTTACTGTGCGGGCTGACTGTGCACAAGGCTCGGGTCGGGCGAAAGGGGGAGGATAGCAAAGGGGGGGGATTGAGAATCAGCTCACGTAGCCGATTCTCCCGGCGCCCCCCGGCGCCGGAGGCGGCCATGCATCGAGAGAAATGGGCCCCTGGATGGGGCCGAAACCAGCTGCATGCAGCAGATTTCGGTTAACCCCCTTTTCCCAACCCCCCCCTTTCGCCCGACCCGAGAGGCTGCCATGATTCGCTGCCGAGCGGCCGCGCGGCACGCGCAGCAGCAGGCGCCCGGGCGAGCCGGGGGCCTGGCGCGCGACGGAGCCGTTCACCTTCAGCCTCTCGGAGACGATGGCCGTGGTGATGAGCTTGGCCTCGGTCGCCGCCGCTTTTCTGGTTGTTCTTGAAGGGGCCCCAGGGCACAGAAATGAATACACACAGATAACAGGATTCCCCATATTTTCATACATTTTCTGGGTCTTTGTCTTCCCCCCCCACTTCCCATATTTTCTCATATTTTCCTCGGGATCATCGATTAATTGTGTCTGTGTTTTTTTTTTCCCTCCTGAGTTTTGTTTTGCCGGTTCCCCCCTCCGTGGCCTCCTGCGCCGTCGGGGCCGGGGGCTCCCGCCCGCCGCCCCTCCCCGCCCGCGGTGGCGCCCCTCTCGGCCCCTCCGAGGGCCGAGAGGGCGGCGGGGGCGGGCTCCCCGGCGGGAGCCGCGGGGGCGGCGGGCCCCTCTCTCTCGCTGCCTCTCCTCGCCTCCCGGCCCCCACGCGCGCCTTGCTCCGCAGAGCGTCCCAAAGACGTCCGGGCCGGGCTCCCTTCGGGCTTCGCGGCGCGAGGGGCGCGATCTGCGAGCCGCCGACACTTTTTGGGAGGGGCGGGCGGGCGGAGGCTGCGGGGTGGGCTTGCAGGGAGGAGCGCGATGCGTCCTGTGCCATCGGGGTAAGCCCGGCTCGAGACTCCTGGCGCGGGGCGCGATCATCGTCGAGCCCCTGGGATCTGGGAGGAAGCAGGAAGGCTGGAGTGAGAGCAATGGGGGCGGGAGGAGCGCGAATCTTCATGCACCATCGAGGTCAGCCCCGTTCGAGCTTTTCCTGGCGCGGAGCGCGAACATCGTCGAGCCCCTGAGATCCAGGAGGAAGCAGGAAGGCCGGATGGTGAGCATTGGGGGAGGGAGGAGCAGGAACCTTCCTGCACCATCGAGGTCAGCTCCGTTCGAGCTTCAACGCACGATCATCTTCGAGCCCCTCAGATTTAAGAGGATGGATGGGGAACGGAGGAGGGCGAGTCAAGGGCGGCCCATCCAAGTCAGGCACATGCTGCCACCCCAATCCCACCAGCCCTTTGGGCGTGAGTGGTTTAGAGAGCCCGCTCTGTTCTCAACCCCCTTCTTCCCCTCCGGGGAGGGGTTTACCCCTCCCCCTACCCCCTCCCCCTGGGCCTGGAGAGGGCGTTCCGCGGGTGGTCAGAAGGGGTCGTTTTGGACTCCTGGGAGGGCTAAAAAACGACACCCCTCACGAGGATTCTGGCCCCGACGGGGGGAGGCAGAAAAAAACCCTCTCCTCTTCTTTGAAGCCAAAATCATTGATTTGACTACGGTTTTGGCCCCATTTTCGCCTTCTGAGGGGGCAGCGCTAATTAAAGCTCCCCTCTTATTTCCAGGCTAAATCATTGATTTTACGAAGGTTTTGGGCTCATTTTGCCCTTCTGAAGGGGGCAGCGCTCATTAAAGCTCCCCTCTTCTTTGATCGATTCCCTCCAAGATGGCCCCCAGAAGCGCCCAGGAGGCACCAAAAGGCCCCAAGATGGCCCCAAGAGGCCCACAGGAGGCACCCAAGAGGCCCCCAAGAGGCCCCCAAGAGGCTCCCCCGAGGCACCCAAGAAGGACCCACAAGAGAAGAGGCTCCCCCGAGGCCACCCAAGACGCTCTGGAAGCCCTGAGGGCCGCCAAGTGAGGCCCCCAAGACGCCCAAACGGCCTCCAAGAGGGCTCCCAAAGGAGGCCCGAAGAGGTTTCCCCACAAGCACCCAGACGCTACTAGCAAGCCCCTGGGGCCTCCAAGAGGCCCCCAAGACCCGCCCCACAAACGGCTCCAAGAGGCTCCCAAGATGCCCCCAAGAGGCCCCAAGAGGCTCCCCCGAGGCACCCAAGACGCTCCTGGAAGCCCCTGGGGCCGCCAAGAGGCCCCCAAGACGCCCCAAACGGCCTCCAAGAGGCTACAAGAGGCCCGAAGAGGCTCCCCCAAGGCACCCAAGACGCTCCTCGAAACCCCTGGGGCCGCCAAGAGGCCCCCAAGACGCCCCAAAAGGGGACGAGGTGCCCGAACGCCTCACGCCACGAGGAGCCCGAACGACTCACATCAGGACGAGGGGCCCGAACGACTCACACCACGAAGAGCCCGAACGACTCACACCAGAAGGAGGGGCCCGAACGACTCACACCAGGACGAGGCGCCCGAACGACTCACACCACGAGGAGCCCGAACGACTCACACCACGACGAGGGCCCCGAACGACTCACACCACGAGGAGCCCGAACGAGTCACACCAGGAGGAGGGGCCCGAACGACTCACACCAGGACGAGGGGCCCGAACAACTCACACCACGAGAAGCCCGAACGACTCACACCAGGACGAAGAGCCCGAACGACTCACACCACGAAGAGCCCGAACGACTCACACCAGGAAGAAGGGCCCGAACGACTCACACCAGGACGAGAAACCCCAAACGACTCAAATCACGAGGAGCGCTTTCTCTCCCTCCTCCTCCGCCTCGTCCTTCTCCCGCTCCCCCCACAAGGAGGATGTACAAGGAGGCGGGAGGAAGGAGGAACAGGGGAGATATGCGGGGCCAAGCGGACACACGCCTGAAAAACACAACTGTCGGCATGCTTCGCCAGAGTTGATGTTGTGAGATGGGCTGGTGGGGGTACGCGAAGCGTAAATAATATTTCCAGCAAGGGCATGTAACGGAGCTCGTGCCAGCTCCTCGAGGTCATGCTTTGCACAAGGGACCGTTTGGGTGATCAGAGGCTCCGCTCCTCCATCCATCTGCTGGATCCGCTGCGCAATCATTTGTCAACGGCGCCGTCTTGCGACTGCCCCATCCTCCTCTTCCTCCTCCTCCTCCTCCTCCCACTGGTGGCTTGGTCGTCGGGCCTCTCGAAGCGATTGCCGACATCCGGCTCCCTCGCCACTAAGAGCGCAAGACGCCCTAAATGCCGCGGCCATTGAATCGTACAGCGTTGCTCGCCTGCTCGTGGCGGGCAGGGTAGACATTGAAACCCATCAACGCAGTCAGCGGCGCGGAGTGGGCATCGGCACATCGAAACAATATCCTGGCGCGCGAGCAGCAAACACATCTGAGACGTGCCGACATCATCGTGCATGGTAAGGGCCAATACAATTACCGGAGAGTAGAGCCTGGTTCGCCAGCCTGCACCAACTGGAAGGGGGATGAGGGGGGCGAAACGGACTGTGCCCGCTTTGTGCTCGCGATCGTCTCCTCGGCAGCAGCGAGCACACTCGACGGACCGTGCCGCCTCGCGTTCTGTACCCACCGGCCTCGGTCGGCGGCGACATCGGGGGGGGGGGCGTTAACAGCGGCACGCTGAGCGGGGGGACGACGCGGCGCGCGAAAGTGCTTGCACGATGCCCCATGCAATGTTTGTGCACACGATCGTTCTTCTCAAACCTTCCAGACGGTGCAGAGCCAGCGCCCCAAAAGGGCTCCCATACGGCCCGAGAGGCGCCCAAGTGGCGCCCAAGCGGCCCCTGGACTGACCAAGAGATGGCAGCAAGACGGCCCCAAGAGCCCTCCAAGACTTCTTCTCTCCTCGGGGGCGCGCAAACATGGATTAGCGATCCATGGATTTGGCGCGCGGTCGCCAAATCCATGGATCGGGGGAGGTGCCCTCCCCAAAATGCGGCAGGTGCCGCCTCGTCCGGCGGCGGAAATCCGCGACTTCCCGTGGAAGCGGGACCCGTCGCTCATCCACGCCCCTTGATCCATGCTTGCGATCCCCTCAATTTCCCCCGCTTCCCCACATGTCGGTTGGCTCCCCCCAGTCAACTGCCTCCATGCGTCCAGCCGACGCCCTCGGTCGGTGTCGGTCCCCTGCCGTGCGCGGGCCATGTCGCGTCGAGGGCCTCCGCAGACTAGCGACCTCGTGGATGCTTCAGAGAACGAGGAGAATCTGGAACGGGTGCTCAAACATCAGCCTGGCGAAAGATCCAATCATCTGCACGTGCGAGCACCGCAACGGCAAGTGGGAATAAGGGCAGGGAGAGAAGGACGGAGGCGCGTACAGCAAGGAGGAGGGCGAGCAGTGGCAGGGGGCAGGCACAGGACGAGGAAGAGGACGTGTTATCGCTATCGAGGCGGCGGCGAGGTGCTGAGCGGCGATGGCCCTCGCCTCCCTCCTGCACCAACCACTGGGGCCTCTGGTGGAGCTCCTCCATGGGGCCACGGAGCATGTGAGCTGTGCGCCGGCATGCGGCGGAGCCGCCATTGCGAATGCCGCCATTGCGAATGCAGCCACTGGTGCAAGGCCCGCTGGGGCCGCGCAGCGTGTGAGGGGTGCGACGCGTGGCGCCTCATATCCCAAAACGAGGACCCAACGCTTCAGGACGGCAGGGAGAACACGCACCTGAGATCCGCTGCTGCCCTTCGAGATGTGCGGCACGCCCGGCAGGGCGAAGTCCTGCCCGAGCCCTGCGGAGGACACTCGCTTGTTGGGCCTCCCAGGGGCTCACCTAGGTGCCGACAGCTGCGCAGTCTTCGGGGCGCGGCGTGTGCCGAAGTGGGGCCCGGCCGCCATGAGACCGCTGCCCCTGGGGCCTGCGGTGGAGTTCGTCGTGAGAGCACGAAGCGTGCGCTCGGTGTGCCTCAAGGTTGCCCGGCCGCCATGTGAACGCAGTCACTGGGGCCTTCGGTGAAGCTCCCTAGGACACCGCGAAGCGTGTGAAGGAAGTGTTGAAATTGGGCGGGGCTGGGGGCCCAACACCGCACCACGGTTGGGAACAAAACACGCGCCACGCGGGAATGCGGACTGGCTTGTCTTGCTGTTCCTCATCCCCACTACAAGCATGAGTTGTTCCGCATCTCCACGTCCAACTGATGTGTTTTCGCATCCCCACGTATTTGTTGTGCTTGTGTATTGTTGTCCACATCCCCACGACCATGCCCACTGGTTAAACCGGTTTGACTTCTGGCTTGGTAGCGCCCAGTTTGTAACATGTGCATTGCGCTTGTCAACACTGGCCTTCGGGATCTCCTTCAACATCTTGTCGTAGGTGGCCTGGTCGAACATGACCTTCGCTCAGGCGATTTCACCATGAAGCGCTGGATCTACGTATGCTAAACAACGACATCGCTCGATAGATCCCCGATGTATTAACTCAATTCGAAAGCATGCCTTAACCGTTGTGAATTGTAACCGCCGAAAAGCTAAAAGCGAGGACTTGCGATATGTGATCGTATCCACGCTGTGGCAACCAACATAACGAAAATATCATACGCGTGACACATACGTATATGTTCTGATGCAGGGCAAGCCCGCATGGCAAGCCCTCAATCATGCAACACAAACATATAAAACAAATGCAAACAAGTTCGGTATGGCAGACCAGGTTGGCCAGCTTCTCCTTCACCTTACCCTTGCTCCACTTCTTCTTCTTGGACTTGCCACCAGCCATAGCAGCCTTCATCTTGGCCTCCTTCGACTTCTGCACAACCTGACGACCCCCTCCCTTAGTCAAGCGCGTAATAAGATCTAAAGGCTTGGTATAGGACAATGATCGAGACATCCGTGGTCCCACCGACTGCGAGATGCGTTGCCCTGGCATGCCATAGTCTGCTTATGACCCCTGTCTTGGCCTGCTTGCCTGCGAGCTAGCTTGCCATAGCATGCCGGTCTTGCCCCTAGCAGCTGGCTTGCTGCATCAAATTAGTGTTCCCCTCTTGGCCTAAGTCTCGATCATCAATCATTCTCTTCCACGGCTTTCCCTGGCCAAACTTCCTGTAGCAGATATGCTGGCTCACCTGGGCCTGCCGAGCTGAACAACCCTGCCTTGGTCAACTCCAAAGTACCTCCAACAAGATCCTTGGCGACCCGCGTTACCCTCCTGACCGTCCCAAGTACTTCGTCCTGGTCAGGCGAATGAGATTGGCCTCCCAACCAACAGACAATCGTCCGAAAACGTTGAACCTCTATTTTCGGACCTCGAACATTTTGTAGCCGTTTCTCGTGTCGCCCTATCTTGGCCCAGTATTGCTCTCAGGCTCTCAGGAAGAGGAGGATGAGCAGAAGAATGGGGAGGGACGGCACGAGGGAAAACCCTTCCTTGAACTGATGCGGCTGCGGAGCGGCCGGGCATGGCAGCCTCCATCGCCGCGCACATTCCATCGGGAGTCTCTCTCTCTCTCTCTCTCGCTCTCTCTCTCTCTCTCTCCCTCTCCCTCTGCCCGATGATAACCTCCATCGTAATCAACCGATCCCTCCGTCCTGTGTCCTATAAATGATTGCGCAGTCCTTGAGGAGGCGGCGGCAGACTTCATGATCATAAGAAAGCGTGGAGGCGCCTAGAATTGTCGGCTGCCTCGCGGGAACAGTGGCCTCAATGGCCGTGTCTGGGCGAGTTGGTCGGGGACCTGCTGACCTGGGTCAACCCAGGCCCGGGTCAGCCCAGGCCCGGGTCAGCCAGGCCTCCCAGGACCTGGCAAGATCCTGCAGGATCCTGCGCCCGAGCCCGGGTCAGTGCGCCCCTGGCCCCGCAAGACCCTGCAAGATCCGGCGCTCCGACCGATCCCCGCTTGCGTTGGCCCCCCTCCCTTTTGAGCCCCGAATGGAGACGACGGCGGCTCAGAATTGGTTCCCGGACCTCTCCCAGGGTCCGAACGGCCACAGAGCTTCACCTGACTCGGCCTCGGCCGCGGTGCGAACCAAAAGGTCGCCAGGCAAACCGGGAACAACACACGAGCCGACCTGTGATAGGCAAACTCATGCACGGAACTGCGGCCTGGAAAATTATCCTGGCGAAGGACCCAACCATAAGCAATTGTTCGTAACGCGTTGAGGGTGCCGCTCTCGGTGGAGCTCCCTATGGGGCTACGAAACGCTGCCTTGGGTGGGGGAACCGCATGCGAACTGCGCCACTGGGGCGGGCCTTCGGTGGAGCTCCCTATGGGGCCACGAAACGCTGCCCTGGGCGGGGGAACCGCATGCGAACTGCGCCACTGGGGCCTTCGGTGGAGCCCCCCATGGGGCCACGAAACGCTGCCCTGGGTGGGGGAACCGCATGCGAACTGCGCCACTGGGGCCTTCGGTGGAGCTCCCTATGGGGCCACGAAGCGCTGCCCTGGGTGGGGGAACCGCATGCGAACACCCCCACTGGGGCCTTCGGTGGAGCTCCCTATGGGGCCACGAAATGGGTGAGGGAACGCATGCGAGAGCAGCCACTGGAGCCCTGGGTGCCCTGCCCCCTATGGGGCCTAGGCGAGCTCCCTATGGGGCCACGAAACGCGCCCTGGGTGGGGGAACCGCATGCGAGACACCCCCACTGGGGCCTTCGGTGGAGCTCCCTATGGGGCCACGAAACGCTGCCCTGGGTGGGGGAACCGCATGCGAACACCCCCACTGGGGCCTTCGGTGGAGCTCCCTATGGGGCTACGAAACGCTGCCCTGGGTGGGGGAACCGCATGCGAACACCCCCACTGGGGCCTTCGGTGGAGCTCCCTATGGGGCCACGAAACGCTGCCCTGGGTGGGGGAACCGCATGCGAACACCCCCACTGGGGCCTTCGGTGGAGCTCCCTATGGGGCCACGAAACGCTGCCCTGGGTGGGGGAACCGCATGCGAACACCCCCACTGGGGCCTTCGGTGGAGCTCCCTATGGGGCCACGAAACGCTGCCCTGGGTGGGGGAACCGCATGCGAGACACCCCACTGGGGCCTTCGGTGGAGCTCCCTATGGGGCCACGAAACGCTGCCCTGGGGGGAACCGCATGCGTGGGGCCTTCGGTGGAGCTCCCTATGGGGCCACGAAACGCTGCCCTGGGTGGGGGCTGCGATGGAACGAAACGCCCTGGGTGGGGGAACCGCATGCAAGAGCAGCCACTGGGGCCTTCGGTGGAGCTCCCTATGGGGCCACGAAGCGCTGCCCTGGGTGGGGGAACCGCATGCGAGAGCAGCCACTGGGGCCTTTGGTGGAGCTCCCTATGGGGCTACGAAACGTGTGAGGGGTGTGCCGAAAGCAGAGGCAAGGAGGGGGAGGAGGGAGGAGGGATGGGGCAGCGGGAGGAGGAGACGCGGGGCACCGCCTATTCAGAACGAGGGCCCGACGACACAGGTTAGTTGGGAACTAACGAACGTGCCGCATGCGAGAGGAGAGGAGGAAACGAAGAGAAGGGAGCGCCACAACCTGACAAACGACCCCCAAACCAGAGCGGCGTCGGGCCGTGGCGACGAGGCGGCCCCCTAGGGGCCAACTGCCACTGCCTCCGCTCGCCCTCCTCAGGCCCCAGGCCGGCGAGGCGGCGGACGGGGGGAGGGAGGCAGGGGGGCCGTGTCGACGAGGCAGCCCGCGAGGGCCAGCTGCCCCTGCCTCCACTCGCCCTCCTCTGGCCCCAGGCCGGCGAGGAGGCGGACGGGGGGGAGGGGGGGCAGGGGGGAGGGCAGATTGGAAGCTGGGCGAGGGCTGGCAAATCCGTGGCTGCTAACACGGTCTTCCCGGAAGGAAAGAACAACTTCCCGGAATGAGGCGCGGCACGCGAAACAATCAACGGGCTTCTTCCCAGAAGGACGAAGACAACTTCCCGGAGATCGATTCTAGCAGCCACGGATTTAGCAGCCCTTGTCCGGCTTCCGAGTAGAGGGCTCCCAGATGGGGTCGGAGTAGATGGGGTCGCAGGACCGCGCCGCATCGCCAATGCATCGGCGATGCACCGGCGATGAGGGTCGACGTGGGCGATGCATCGGCGACATCGACGTGGAGGAAAGCGGGCTCCACATCGAGCTGCATCGGCGATGCATCGGCGATGCGGCGCGATCCTCCGACCCCATCTACTCCGACCCCATCTGGGAGGCCTAGAGAGGGGGGAGGAGCTCTTCCGCGCGCACTGGGGCGCCAGGTTCAACACTTCGCCCCGACCCCTCCGCGCCCATTGGGCGCGAAGGGGTCGGCGAGGAGGCGGACGGGGAGGAACGCGACACGCCAGCGCTCATCTGGGCCTACCAAGGCCGGGCTAACGGCGATGTTGCTTTGCTGGGAACCAACGTGTAGGAACTCACGAACCACACTTTCCTGCATCTCCAATCTGCGGAGGGATCGAGCGAGCACGACACAGCGAATTGCAGGAAGGGGTGAGCCACGCGCGTTCCCACACTGCCGAAACCTGCAACGCCGTTGCAGGCGTCGCCGTTGGCCCGTCTACGGGCCTAGGTACCCGCAAGAAACCCAACCCTGAAATCCGCGATTTGTTCAGTGAAAATCCAAAGTTGTCGATCGAAAATCGTCAAGATCTGATTGGGAGCCCATCGAAATCCAAGAAACCCAGGGCACCCTGGCAAAATCCAGCTGGTTTCTTGGCACGCGCCCCCACTGTAGGCGAGGAGGCGGAAAGTGGAGGGGGGAGGAAGGCGGCCCGCCAGCGCTCCACAGAGAGCCCCAGGACTCAAGATGGGGCCCCGGGGCCACCCGGGACGGCACGAGGCCGCCAGCGGGAGGCCCTGCTCGAGGCCTCGGGGCGAGCCCAGGGCGCTCCAAGGCCGTCTGAAGATGTCCCCAATATGGCGCAGGAGGTCACCACCAGAGAGAGAGAGAGAGAGAGAGAGATCCAGAGAACCATAGACTGGGAAAGAGAGAGAGAGAGTGAGAAACACACAACAAATAGCGAGAAGTAGAGAAAGAGAACGAGAGAGAGAGAGAGAGAGAGAGAGAACGAGAGAGAGGGATCGAGACATAGCGATGCGCCACCTGAGCAACGCTCAAGCCATTGCTGTTCGGCCACGGGGTCACCTCCACAGGCCTGAACCAAGGCCTCAATTCTAGTCCAAGGTTCAGCCTGCTCTAGAACACTGCTTGCAGACACACACACACACATCACCTCCAAATCCGAGGTGGCCAATCGACATTGCCATCGACCCCTGCGCGTGCGTATCAATTCAGAAACATGTATCACCATACGTCCTCCTCCTCCTCCTCCTCCTGCTCCTCCTCCTCCTCCTCCTCGAGAGAGAGAGAGAGAGGGAGGTGCTATGTGTATATTTGTGCAGGAAGGAATGGAGCAGGAAGGGGGAACAGGAGGACGGGAGGACATCGGAGAAGGATGTGGTGATTCCGAATGGTGTCCAGCATGGCATGGGCAGCTCAGGTCGTGCGAACCACGAACCCCCATCGCAAGCAGACGTAGGGTACTCGCCAGACTCCAGACATGCATCGAACAGGCCTCCAGAAAATCTCGCAATCCTCCTCCATCTTCTACTGTTCTTGATCATGACTGGCTTCGTCATGATATGTCCGAGAGGGGCCGTTAGCAAGGAGTCCCGCTCACAATCGTGGGTAAACCTGGAGGGAGCGCCGCTGGATGGCCCCCATGGGGAGGGGGTGGGACTCCCCCCCCCCTTTCCCCGATCCGTCGTCGGGGACCCCCCCCCTTTCCCAGTCCGTCGTCGGGAACCCCCCCCCTCCCCCGCTTTCCCGGTCCGTCGTCGGGCCCCCCTCCCCCCTTTCAAAAGGAGGGGGGGGGTCCGACCCCCCTCCCCTTCTCCCCCTTTGGCCGCCAAATTCGAAGCCCCTCCCCCTCCCCCCCTTTCGCCACGGCGCCCCCTGGCTCCGGAACCCGGCCCGTACCACCCCTAACGCTACCACCCCGACCACCCCTATCCCTAACCCCAAACCGTAGCCCTAACCCCAAACAGTACTCAGTACTCACTATTCACTACTCACTACCCACTACTCACTACTCGCTACTCACTACTCACTTCTCACTACTCACTGCTCAGTACCCGCGACCCACTACCCACTACCCACTACTCACTACTCACTACAACCAACTCATTACTCAATACCCACTACCCAATACTCACTACTCACCACTTATTACCAACTACTCCTTTCAGTAGCCAATAGCCACTACTCACCAAACACTACTCACTACCTACTACTCACTACTCACTAAGCACTACTCACTACCCACTATCCACTACTCACTACTGAATAATCACAATTCACTACTCACTACTCACTGCCAACAACTCGCTACTCAGTATCCGCTGCTCGCTACTCGCTATTCCTTACACAGTACTCCTTGCTCACTACTCACTACTCCCTACTCGCAATTCGCTACCCGATACTCACTACCCACACTCGCTACCCGATACTCGCTACTCGCTACCCGCTACTCGCAAGAAGTAAATACCCACTGCGCACTACTCACTACCCAATACTCACTACTCCACACTCCCTACTCTTTAGTCACACGTCATACTCACTACTCAGCATTCACTACTCAGTACTCACGACTCACTACTCACTACTCGCTGCTTTCTATTCGCTACTCCCTACGCACTACCCACTACTCACTACGCACTTCCCACTACTCACCACTCACTAATCACTACTCCCTACTCCCAACTCTCTACTCACTACTTACTCACTACTCAGTACTCGCTATTCCCTACTCGCTACTCACAATACTGACTACTCCCTCCTCACTGCTCAATACCCACAATGCCCTACTCGCCACTCATTATTCAAGACTCGCTACTCCCTACTCGCTACTCACTACCCACCCCCCACTACCCACCACCCACTTCTCACTACTCACTACTCACTACTTACTACTCGCTATTACCTACTCGCTACTCACTACTCCCTATTCACTACTGACTACTCCCTCCTCCTTATTCACTACTCACGATGCCCTACTCGCTACTCACTATTCACTACTCGCTACTCCCTACTCGCTACTCTCTACTCATTTCCAGCTCCCCACTACCCACTACCCATTACTGGCCCATTACCCACTACTCACTACTCACTGTGCACTACTCCCTACTCACTACTCATTCCTCACTACTCGCTACTATCTACTCACTAGTCACTAGTCACTACTCACTACTCGCTAGTCTCTACTCACTACTCAGTACTCACTATCCCGAGACCAAACCGCCCCCCCCCCTTGCGGGAGAGGCCCCCTCCCCGGCCCCCTGTTCGGCGCAACGGGGGGGAGGGGGGGGGTTCGAACCCCCCTCCATCCAGCGCCAAGGGGGGGAAGGGGAGGGGGTCCGGAACACCCCCCCCTTTCAAGGGGGGGGGACAGGAGGGGTTCGGACCCCCCCACTTAAAGGAGGGAGGGGGGGGTGGGGCTCGAAAATCTCACTCCCCCTTTGAAGGGGGGGAGGGGGGGGTTCTGCGAGCCCCCCCCGTTTCGTTTTTTAATTACAGGGTCATCCACTGGCGCGCTTTCGTAAACCTGCAAACGTTCAAATGGTCGTTCTCCTCGTCTCATACAACTTCCTCCGTCGTAACTGCAAATGCCCCCCCTGGCTGTTCCTCTGCGTTTGCACCTCCCGCGTGCAATAGAGTCGGGTGAGAGGCATGAGCAAGACACACAGACTGAGGCACATCAGAAGGATTACAGGAGTATGCCGACGACGGGGGGGAGGATGATGATCGTATCTATCCCCCCCGCCTTGTTGGCGCCCATGGCTGCTGCGACTCTGGCCGCTCTTGGCGAGACGGGCCGGTCTGAGTGGAGAAGTGCTGCAAGGGGGCCCGCGCGCAGGGACCACAGCCCGCTGGAGCACGAAATTGCGGCGATGCGGACGGGGAGGAGACGAGGGAGGAGGATCAGCACCGTCGGGTGCGTCGAAGGGGGGGGCCAGGACGAAAGGGGGTCAACGTATCGCGGCCCGATGCATGTGCGCGGGCATCGGTTGGGGGGGGGCGCCGGGGGACGTGTTGCAAGGAGAGGGGTGCGTGAAGTCGGGGAGGTGCAACGCCCCTCGCCGACCCCCTCCCCCCTCTAGCCGTCTCCCCCTCTTCCAGCGCTCACGACATCAGGAGGGGGGGATGACGGTGCAGGAGAACAGCTGCACGCCTCAATCTGCGGAAGTGGAGCGCCAAGAGGCGTGTACAAAGAAGCGTACGTAGCTCGCCCTACTTAATCAGACCTTGCTAGTGCACTTCGCTCATGCGCCTCGCTTGCTAAGCGTTTCGGCATCCTTCCGCGCTTGCATGTGGTTTACCTTCTATCTAAGTTAACAAAGCCACACGACATAATCTGAGCTATCCGAGTTACATGGACTAATCCAGCTGAGCAAGCTACGTCTAGCTTGGCTGACACATTCAACTCGGCAGATAACGCTAGAGACACTTCCCGACGGCAAGCTGGCCAACTCAAACCGCCAAATTTACGCAAACAAAGCTGAACAACGCCGACGATCCAAACACAACGCACGGAATACATATGGTATTTCCGCTACTGCTGACAACAACATAATATCGTGCCTGGCAAACGCTGAGCCGAACGGGAGAAAACATTGTACCAGAAGGACGATGCATCAGGCACCCATTTCGAACAACACACATCGAACTTCGGTGAACTGGGAGATTTCTACCGCCGTCTTCAATACCAGGTTCGCGACGGAATCTGAACACGAGCGTACCATGTCCGAAACGCACTCAAGCCAACATGTGCAGTGACACGAGAGACAGAACACGCGAACACACAGAAAAGTCTGCTCTCGACCTTGAGTCCCACACCGACGGCGCTGGTGGGGAATCGCCCTGCATGTACCAGCAGCTCTCGCCTCCCCTACGCGAAGGTGACGGACCAGGACTGGCAATGAGGCAAACAAGTGAACATGCGGCGTTTGCGATGGTCAATTGTTGTTTCCTCCTCCTCCTCCTCCTCCTCCTCCGTCTTCTCTCCTTCCGCCTCCACCTGAAGCGTCACTTCCAGGGTGACGGTCCGCTGACTGAGTGCTGCTGCTGCTCCGGCTGCACGATGCTGCCCTCGATATCCGACGATGTGTGTTGTAATAAAGTGGAGGTTTGTCCACAAGAAACCTTCCACAATAATCCCAACACTGAGACCCGAGGACGTCCATCGATTTTTGATGAGGGAACGTCACGCTGTCCATCTCAAAACTATCGAAACCCAAAAAACCCAGGGCACCCTGGAGGCAAGCAGGGTGCTTCTTGGCATCGGTCTCCACTGTTGTGAACCCATGAAAAACTGCATCATGCACGTAAACTTTTTGAGCTCCGCGAAGGACTCCGACAACTTATGTTTGCTCTGGGGTCTGGCGTTGCGGAAAAAAAAATGCAATACCGCGAAACATCACGACTGGAGTCCCAGACCCCATCTCTCGGAGGCATCTTCGGAGTCCCCTCGATGTGTGGGAGGATCCTGACGTCCCGACACCTGGCGAAAACGCCCCGTGTCCGAGGCGCGGGGACTTCTGCACCGTTGTCTTTCGTTGTTCTTCGACTCTGTCGTTTTTTTAGATGCCTCCCAGATGAGGTCGGAGTAGATGGGGTCCTAGGATCCCGCGGCATCGCCAATACATCGCCGATGTATCGGCGATGCATCGGCGATGCACCGGCGACGCATCGTCGACGTCGGCGACGCATCGGCGACGCATCGGCGACGTCGACGTGCAGCAAATCGGGCTCCGCATCGTCGATGCATCGGCGATGCGGCGCGATCCTCCGACCCCATCTACTCCGACCTCATCTGGGAGGCCTAGATTTTCGATTGACGGTGCATCCGCTGGGAAGCCTTGGGCCCCGCCCCTCCCCTCCGAGCGTCAGCCTCTCCTCCGGGGCGCACGCGAGCAGCCCCTCCAGCAGGCGCGCGAGGCGCCCCGAGAGCACCTCAATGGAGCGGGCAGGGGGGCCGGGGCGAGGAGAGGCCCAGGCCCCTCGCTGTCGGCGGCGCGCGAGGGGGGGGGAAGCGAGGGAAGCGACGGCCCTCTCACAGGCTCTCTCCGCGCCGCTTTCTCGGGTCGGCGCTGGGCTCCCCCTCCCTGGCGCGCGGAACGCGCCCGAGGCGGCGCCGGAGGCGCCGCCGGGGGGGGGGGGGTCCAGCGCCGACCCGAGAAATCCGCGCGGACCTCCGAGGTTTTATGTTTCTGTCGTTCTTACTTCCGCCATCTCAGAAGGCGGCGGGACTTCTCAAGGCCCAGGCGCCTTCCGAGAAGCATTCTCTGCGCCTTCGGGGAAGGCTCCGAAAACTTCTCAGAAGGCCGGGGGGGCTTCCGAGCCTTCTGAGAAGTCCTTCTCCTTCGCACTTCCCCCCGGGGCGCGCCGCCAACGCTCACCAACTTCACAAGGCTGACCGTGAACACACGCACGCACACACACACACACCCACACCCACACACCCACCACCCACCACCCACCACCCACCACCCACCACGCACCACGCACCACGCACCACGCACCACGCACCACCCACCACACACCACCCACCGCCCACCACCCACCACCCACCACCCACCACACACACCCCACACCCCACACCCCACACCCCACACCACACACACCACACACAACACACACAACACACAACACACACACACACACCACACACCACACACCACACACAACACGCACCACACACAACACACACATACCACGCACCACACACAACACACACACACACCACACACACCACACAACACACACCACACACAACACACACCACACACACGGCGGACGGTTTGTGGCAATTGCCGCCCTCCGGTGGCCCTCACGGCGCTCCAGGACTGTCAGACCACGACCCGTGATGAGAAAGCCGAGTGGGTCCCGGGGAAGGGGCCGAGACCTCTGGGGAGCGGGGAACGCGTCAAACCAGGGCCCCGGGGAATGGGTCGAGACCTCCGGGGGTCGACGCTGCGAAACAGTGGAGACGGGCCACAGGCCCCCTCACAGAGGACCCGAAACTCTTGTGCAGGAAGTGCCTCAACCCTCCCGTGAGGGTGCGGGGGGCTGCGCCCTCTCAGACGGAGGGCCCTGGGCCCTCTCATTGGGAGTCCAAAGCGCATGGCGAGACCGACTGACGCTGTCGGAAGAACACCTGTCGCAAGAATAACCCGCTCTTACGTGGCACCCCGCAATTGCGGATAAGAGTGAGGGGGCGGGCGCGGGCGACGCGGGCGTCGTCGAGCCGGCGGACCTCGTGGCCCCCACCTTCCTTGTCGATGGCGCTCTCTTCCACCTCCTCCTCCTCCTTCTCCTCCTCTTCCTCCTCCTTCTCATCCTCCTCTTCCTCGTCCTCATCGTCATCGTCATCCTCCTCCTCCACCTCGTCCTCCTCCTCTTCTTCCTCGTCCTCCCTCTCCCCCCCTCGTCTTTTCATCATGGTCCTCCCATTGTCGTCCTCTCCCTGATCGACCTCCATCATCGTCCTCCCATTGTCGTCCATCATCATCATCCTCCCCATCCTCCCCCTCCTCGTCCTCCTTCTCCCCCTCCTCCCCCTCCTCCCCCTCGTCCTCCTGCTCCTCCTCCTTTTCTTTCTCCACGTTCTCCTTACATCCTCTCTTCTTCTACGTTCTCCTCGTCCCCTGTTCACTCATCCTGCCTCCCCCTCCTTTCCCAAGATAACTGCAACGCAATCCTTTTTTCCCACTTTATGCTCCCCGCCTTTTCTGATCAAGGCAACTCGCCAGGGCAAAGTTGCTGGACGGGCTGGCGTGGATGTGCGGGGCGTGCAGAGGTCCTTGCGGGCTCAGACGGCATGCAAGAATCCGCCGCCGCGCTTGTGCGGCATTGGTTTGTTCAGTGAACGTGGTTTAGGTCGCGGGTGGGTCGCGGGCTCTCCACCTCCACCTGGAAGGAATGCAAAAGCAGCCCGCCGCAAGCGCCAAAAAAATTGGTTCGTACACGGAACGAGGTTTGGGTCGCGGGTGGGCCGCGGGTTCTCCACAGGGAACGAATGCAAAGGATGCCCGCCGCAGGCGCCGAAAATGTGGTTTGTACCCTGAACGTGGTCGCGGGTGGGCCGCGGGTGGGCCGCGGGCTCTCCACCTGAAGCGGATGCATAACATGCCCGCCGCAGGCGCCGAAAAATGTGGTTTGTACCCTGAACGTGGTTTGTGCCGCGGGTTGGTCGCGAGTTGGTCACGGGATGTGTCGCGGGCTCTCCACTTGGAAGGAATGCAAAAAAGCTCGCCGCAGGCGCCGAAAATTGTGGTTTGTACCTTGAACGTGGTTTGGGTCGAAGGTGGGTCGCGGGTGGGCCGCGCGGTAGGTCGCGGGTGGGTCGCGGGTGGGTCGCGGGTGGGTCGCGGGCGGGTCGCGGGTGGGTCGCGGGGTGGGCCGCGGGGGGGTCGCGGGATGGGTCGCGGGTTGGGTCGCGGGGTGGGTCGCGGGGTGGGTCGCGGGGTGGGTCGCGGGGTGGGTCGCGGGTGGGTCGCGGGTGGGTCGCGGGTGGGTCGCGGGGTGGGTCGCGGGGTGGGTCGCGGGTGGGTCGCGGGGCGGGTTGCGGGTGGGACGACGACAACAAACAACAACAACAACAAACAACAACAACAAAAATCCGCACCGCGGAATTCCACATCAGCCACGCACCCAGGGACAGTGAATGACCGTTCGGCCCCCTCACTCTGATCATCACGCGAACGGGCCTCCCGATTCACAACGACGACTCTCATCCTTGTCGTACGATCGACTCACGGAGTCGTAAGAACAGACGATTTCGGGACCTAGTCAGGCGGGATGAACACAGAATAAGGCGCACGATGATCAGTCAGCACCGCGTCGGGACCGGGCTGCGTCTGCATGTGGCCGCGGTCG